AGATTGGCCTAATAAATCACTTGTCCCAAGACAATGCAATTAAGCCTAATTAGCCGATAGCTTTATTCCTAAACAGTCTCTTCCCAAGGGAGGTTTTAACTTTTGGTTTCTAAATTAGCTCAAGGAGCTAAATTGCTCTCATCTCCTTGGCAGAGCAACAGTTCATTTCTACCTTAGTGCAGGATACTTCAGGCGCTCGGGGGACACGTGTTGCACTGCACGGGTAGTTTAATCCCTGCACTAGTCCACAGTTTGAGTCCACTAGGACCAGTGACAAACCCTTCTGGAAACAGCAGCAGGTACACTTCCATCTGTCACCGCTGACTTTCCCACCTGGCTGCACTCAGGAGTCTCTACGTTGCTTCTCCAGATCCTCTCCCTGACCAGGACAAGGTGCTCTGTCCTGCTAAAGCTTTCAGCAGTGCTGAGATATTCAGAGGTGACAGACTCCAGGGTCAGTGAGAAATGGACCACCTTAGTCCATTATCTCAGTAAAGTCTGAGTAGAAGACACAGTCTGAGTAAAGAAATTCTTGGCTGTGAGGATGGGGAGGCCCTGGCACAGGTTGCCCAGAGAAGCTGTGGCTCCCCCTGGATCCCTGGAAGTGTCCAAGGCCAGCCTGGAGAGAGCTTGGACCAGCCTGGTCTAGTGGAAGGTGTCCCTGCGAACGGCAGGGGTGTTGGAGTAAAATGAACTTTAAGTTCATTTAAGCCTTCCAACCCAAACCATTCTCTACTCCCATGATTCCTGGAAGCATTTTAAACAAGGGCAGCTTTAGTTCTTTCCAGTACAGTAGATATAAAACAGCCTTCCAAATCTTTTTACTACTTTCATTTGCTCCCAACTCACACTCCACCAGATACATTATTTTCAGCAGTTTCACAGAAGCTTCAGCTATTTATTTTGGGGATTATGTGACTCTAATTCAAAAGAGAGTAATGTGATATCTTCTCATAGATCAAGAAAATCATTAAAGAAAAACTCAGCTGAAACTGCCAGCCCTGGAAGCTGTTGAGTAACCTCTTGCAAAACAGAGTTACTGGGCAGACAGGATCTGCACTGGAGTAGGATGGGGACCCAGAGCACCTGGGAAAAATGGGAAGGGGAAGGTCTATGGAGCAGCATATTTTTGTTTATCTCATTACAGGGTAAAGTTCACATACCAAAAAGTCTGTGCAGGTCTCTATTAAGAAGTAGCTGATATCTCTATGAAGAAATTGGCTGAAGATGCCTTGTGTTCCTCAAAGCCAGTATGAAATAGCTACCTTTTTGCTTCTTGTTCTTTGAAACTTTTTCTTTTTTTAATCATAGAAAAAAGTAAAAGCCAACACATCAACTGCTTCCTGCACATGCAGCATTTCTTCACATCACAGAAACTTTTCATTTTTAAACTCTACCTGCTGCTAGTGCGTGCTAAAGCTAAGTTTGATAAATCCTTTCATTTTAAACGCTAAACTGTGTACAGTTTTCATTTAATCCTCTGCCAAGGCTTATCTATTATTCTCCTGACTGCTTTACATACATTTGTTTCCCTTTCATCTCTTCAAATTGTGCCTTACTTCTCCTTCCTTTACTGTCTCAGGGTTCTGTGAGTTTTCCCTCTCCCATCCCTTTTGCCATCTGACAGCAGAGCTGAACCCCCTGCACATCTACAGCTGCAAATGCTCTGCTGTGAACACCTGACTTCTCTTGCACCTTCTTCCCCAGATGCTCACAAATATTCACAGTTCATTATAGCTAAATTGCTTGGTAATTCTAATTATCCTTCTTTTTATAAATGGAGAAATAGAGAGAGAAAAAACCACAAATTATTAAAAAATTTAAAAGGAAACTTTTCTGGAGCCCAAACAGCTAGACAAGCAAAATTTCAATATTAGTAGGTCACTTCAGTGCTCTCTGTGCCTTGCAAACTTCCCCTCTGCAACACTCATATGGAAACCTGGTGGCACAGGCTCAGCCTGCACTGGCCCAACAGTTTCAGTAGTATTTCATAGCTCTGCTCTCTACAGGTCATTTTTTTTTTTTTTTTTACTTGAAACCTTCCCATAAAGAAATCACTCTCACACAATTAGCCAGGAATATATTGCATTGTGATATATAGAGCAGGTATTAAAAAAGCTATTTGAGTATTAAGAGAGACTTCAAAGGAGGTGAGATCATGAGGGAATGGGGATATGTTGAACCCATATATGTCAGATTGATTCAGTTTTACTGCTCTAAGGAGAAAGATGGGGGTACTAGCAAAGGACTACCCAACATACTTGGGTGGAGATGTTAATTGGGATGGTTACAACATGTCACTTTTAGACCCATGGCCTCTGCAGTGAATTAGGGAACTATCCCCAGCTAAGCCAAGGTCTTTGCAGGACACCAGAATGGTGTTTGCAAAGATGCAAAACAAGAAGGGGACATATAAGACTGTATCACTGTCTGCCAGCCATCAGATTTAAGGACAAACCTAAACCTTGCCCTTAGATATAAATTCTTTCCCAAGCTAGTGAATTACCAGCTTTGTAACTCTTGTAGGAAGCTTGCACATCCATGAAGAAGTGTGGGACTGGTTTGGGACATGCCCTGGTATTACTGATTTATACCAGGTTTGGGTTGTAGAGGTCTCAGCCAAGGTCTCAATGGCAGCCCCAAAGCAGAAAGCAGTTCTGGCATGGCTTCAGGCATTGCTGGCTATTAAATACTTTAATAACTCTTTCTTGAATGCATTTTAAAAGAAAGGTGCAAATAAGTGTTTTGTTATTGGTGGAGCAGGATCTGGAGTGAGCAGCTGGAGGGGAACCCAGTTTCTTAAACTGGGCATAGGATAAAAGCATACTCACAAAATTAAGGGAAGTGAAACAAAAATACCTAAATTCCTTTGGTGATTGGCAGCAGCTGGGTTTGAGGGGTTTAAAATGAAAATTTTGGATCACACTGTTTAGTCTTCAGTAAGTACCTAGGGCCTGTTTGCCCTAGTCTCAGTCAGAAACAGGCAAACGCCCTGGAACTGCCTCTCTGAAGTTTGGTCAGAATGTATATTTTTCTATTAAGGCCCAATACATTATTTCCTTATAAAAACAACTACCTAGTCGACAGCTTGCAGAAAATATGAAGGATGAGACAAATTAGAGAAATCTATACAGGTGGGTACAGTGACTCACAGAATATCAGCCGTGAGTTAAAAACAGTATTTCAGACATTTTAAACGACAAAAGGGTGTCAGCTGAATTGGAATTTAATTCCCTGCATTTGTGTGGGCTGAGATGCAAAGAAACAAATGTTTGGTGCTCCTGTTTTTTGACTGAAGTGGTGTGGCCACTGGGTGTCATCCTTGATCCAGATGACAGCCAAAGACTTTGTAGCTCCAGCAGAAAGCCTGCAACTTCCCGAGCAGTTAAATTCCACTCTATTTGATTGTACAACATGCAGAAAATTGCTCTGCATTTAAATCAGCTATAAAATTGAATACTTTGACATAGACAAATTCTCCTTTGTCTCGGTGCCTTATTTGGAGACCTGAAATGGCTGGTTGATGCGGGAAAGAAAGAGAAGTAATGCAACCAGGGCATAGGAACTACAAACAAATTTGATGAGTGATTATCAAATCTCAGGAAATATGAAATAACTATGATTAAATAATGCAGAGGGACTATGCAGGAAGGTTGGAATTATATCCTTAATTGGGCCCCAGGCTGAAAAAGCCTATTTCATGTAGGTAATTGTGTTTAAGATATTCAGTAGCCAGATTCGGTACACAAATTAATGACTATGTATGAAGGAGCCAGTTCAGGAAAAACTAATTTAAACTCATACCTACAACACAAAGTTCGTGCCCTCACAGAAGTTTCAAAATTTCATCAAGGATGAAAAAAAGACTCAAAGTCCTTGATATTTTATCCATTTGCTATTCTGTGATTTTTCACTTTTTTTTTTCAACTCTTCAGCATCTTTCCAGCTCCACAAAACCAGGATCCATGGGAATCACACAACCAGGTGGGGCCATGGGAACAATGCGTGCACCCAGCTAACAGGGAAGCATAAAACTTCCCAGAAGAAATATCCAGATATCCGGAATATTTTGCCAACGTTCACGTATAAGGATCGAATCAGCTCACAGCAGGTCGTATGTCATCCTAATGAGTTTTCTGCTATGGGTGACTGAGAAAAACTTATCAGTGTTATTTTGTTATCTCCTGAGAGTCTAGACAGTCTGAAACCAGCACAGTGCAGCGAAGCTGCTTATTATAATATTATTTGTCTCTGAAACCTGATTTAGTTTGCCTTCTTCAAGCTAAAATAAAAGGAAGTGCCAGCAATTTCTCCAAGCATTACAGCCAGAAATGTTTACATTTGTCAGTGCATTGAAAGTAATAATCCTACTATTCTTAATATAAATGCATAGAATATAATAATATACTGGTTTAAATAACAGGTATTTTTTTAATGCAGCTAACCTCAGTTGATAGCTCAGCTTTCCATGGATTATACAGTTTTTAAGAACACAGATCTCCGTGTAATACTTCCTAGCTTTGCCACTGGATGTAAATTTAATGAAAACATGCCAGTACTAAAGAGTTATTAGGCACAGAGTTGAAATTGTCTTTGATTTTGCTCACCAACCAGAGACTTCGAGGATTTTTTAAAAATTCATTTTTAAAGGAAGATGTTAAAAATTCTCTTTACATTAAACAGCCCCATAGCCATGATTTAGGTTACTTGTTTTTAACATTATCAACACTCTCTTTTACGATTCTACTTAGTTTAGAACTGATAACTGACTTCAGGGAGGAAAGGCACTTAAGATAAGAGCCAAATGTCAGCTCAGTGATTTTTTTTTTTCCCAAAAGGAATTTTTTCTGTTTCTATAAATATATACATAGGTGCACACGCCCATATTCTAAGACCAGGTATCTACACAATTTCCCTTTCAGATCTCGATTCAAAGGGAAGACATTTTCCCCTTTGAACTTAACAGGACTTTTTATTTGGGTGTAGAAAAAAATACTCACGCTGGTTTAACACTCTTGGAATGCTTTTCATGGATGTAGGCAGCAGCGATGCCTCCTGCTCCAGAATTTAAATACTGCAAAGAATAAATCAACGTGTACATGTCGTGCTCATTATCTGTAAAGTATCACCTTCCTTCCCTCACCCAGCTCTATAAAACAGAACAGTTTTAACATTTCTGGAGGTTTCTAACTGGAGATCTTAGCATTTGTCACAAAGTGCTGATGTAGATAAAAAGCAGATATATTTTTTCAGGTTAGATTTTAAAATATCTTTCTTGGCTTAGGTACAATAATTGAAGTCTAACAGGCTAGAAAATTGAAGTACAGCTGAAACAATTCCATGTCATAATATATATAGCAAAGTCATCAAACAAACCCTCTGACTATATCTGCCGATTCTTAATCTCAGTAGAAGTCACAGGAATTAAAGATACCTTGTTCTGGGATCAAAATTATTTAAGTTTGGGCAAGAATAGTATCTTATCTAGGGATCATTTCATAAAATCCTGTAGCTTTGAGACCTTCTCAGTGTGCGAAATAAGAAAAGAGCCTCTAATCCTGTGACCAGAGAGCAGAATGTGCTTCAGAGCAGATGTTTAACCACCGCCAGCATCCACCTCACATTCACAAGACCTCATGAGTCATTGCCACTGTTAGTTTTTGGAACCTCTCATAACAAAGCCACCACTAAAGTCAGTGCCCACCTCCTCACTGTGGCTGGTTCCAAGATTCAGCCAAGTCTTGATCAACAGTTCAGGTGCAGTTTTTATTCATTTGATTGGTTTGCTGACCCATGATAGAAGTGATGTTAAGGAAAACAGTCTCCAACAATGAATCTATTTTACCTTGTAGGAGCACCAGCTGGCAAAATCTACTCCCCAGTCATGCAGATGAAGCTCTACATTCCCAACACTGTGAGCCAGGTCAAATCCAACAAAGCATCCCTGCAGGAAAGAGATGATTATTATACTACTTGCTAGGATAATCATCGTCATACAGTTATTTTGAAAAAAAAAAACCCACACCTGTAGACCATTACTGGCTCTCTCCATAGGCATGTTATCTAGTGACTTTGTAAAGAGTCAGGTAGGGATAGGACAAGTAGAAATGGACTTAAACTAAAAAAGGAGAGATTTAGATTAGATGTTAGAAATTCTTGGCTGTGGGGGTGGGGAGGTCCTGCACAGGTTGCCCAGAGAAGCTGTGGCTGCCCCATTCCTGGAAGTGTCTAAGGACAGGTTGAACAGAGCTTGAGGAAACCTGATCTAGTGGAAGGTGTCCCTGCCCATGGCAGAGAGGTTGGAAACAGATGATCTTTTAGGTCCCTTCAAGCCCAAACCCTTCTATGATGAATCTATCAAGACCCATCTGCTTTGAGTTATTGCTAGATATGGTTTAGATTCCTAAGAAGTTGATCATGCAGTAAAGTGGAATCACTTGCAATAAGTATTCAGAACAAATGCATAAATACAACCTGTTGTATGGCACGACATGCAGAGACAAAGCAGTAAAGTGCATAACGATGCCAGTTACTCATGAACAATTACATTCCACCATATACTTACACTGAAGGTCTCCCTGATATTTAAACTAGCAGGATCTTGCTCTTTGGGAATCCAAATGGGTGAGGCAGCAGCTCATGCAGCACACTGATCCTTAAAGACATTTTTACTTGTCCCTAAGAAGAAGAATCCTGCCATTCCTCTGTGAGGAGTGTTGCATTTGCCATCAATAGAATTTGCACAGGGAAAGAAAGAGGGGGGAAAGCATCTAAGGAGCAGAGACGTCTAGACCAAAAAAGCAAGTTTTACACACGAAATAACCACTGGATGGCAGCATTTTTAAACTAAAAAGTTCTTCCAAGCTTTGCCGTTTGTTTAAGTGCAGAGAAATGAAACTGCTTTTTGTGCCTGGACTACGAATTAAATGCTATTTTGCATTTTGCTTTTAAAACACAAACAGCTTGCTTGCAAGCAGCGGGGTAGAAATAGGAGTGAGAGCACAGGCTTCAGAAAAATCAGCGTCCAATAATAAAACAAAGGGGGTTTTTTTGAGAATCTCCTGCTGTTTCTTGCATGGAGGGAGCCTTAGCTAAATTATTTAAACAGTACTTTGGTATATTTAATCTTCTGTATAAACTAGATAACAATTTGAATGGAGCAGCATTTTAAGAAGATGTGACACGTTAATTCTAATGGAGGCTTTGGTGGAGTTATCAGCTTAAGAAGTTGCTGCAAAGCAATGGGGAGAAAACTCACTGCCACAGAATTTGCATGACCTAAACATTGGAATCAGAGTCCAAATAAATAACCTTGGTGGCTTGACTTCACAGGGACACACAGAACTGGGTTAAAACAGATCAACTGAAATGGTGAAGTTAAGACAGAGGGGCTGAAGAATGCTGAATTCCCATGGGAATGCCCTCATTCAGGGATAAAATGGCTTCAGAGAAATAAGCTACAGCAAACTAAAGCCAATTGCCAGTGAACAAGGAGGCTTTCATAGGGTTTTAAAGCATTAAAACGTCAGCTGACTGGATTTAGACCTTTACAGGTGTCCCTTTGTACATACATCCCACGCAAACTTTTGGAAGCAACTCTGTGATAGATCCATTGGTTTCAGTGCAAACCAGGAATAACATGATAGGATGAGAGTCTTGCAGAATGTGTGTGCCTGGCAGTACATTAACAAAATCGAAACAAACAAAACAATGGAAGTCGCTCATAAAGAAGAAACCTATTAGAAATTTGACTCTATAGTTCGTGTGCTAAAATCAGTTGTCTTTTCCCTGTCAGTAAGTCAGAAACTCTACAGAAAATGTGTTCAAGCACAAGATGACGAGATGGGAGGTAGGACAGGATGTTTGAGGACAGTGGCAGTTTGGATGGTCTTTGCAATCATGGTAGCATAAAGATGCTCCATAGCCATATCTATCCCTGTAACCTTGATATGCCCAAAATTTCTTGGGCACTGACACTGTCTGGAATAGATCAGCTTGAACCCACACCGTGGGCCCACAGCCCTCAAACAGGAGGCCCACAGATATACCACCCATGGGTCATCCTTCTGAACTCCTCTAACTGCTTCCCAGTGCTCTGAAATTGGTTGGCAAATCCTACTGGGCACTTTCTAACCGAGTATTGAGGCACAGCCTGAAAACCTGGGTTCAGAGCTGGCAGGTTTCCTGCATCGTCTCAGAAACACCCACTCGCACCAGTTTGCTCGAGTTGTCTTCTGCAAGATGGGCTGTGCCGGTTTGTTTTTTTTCCCAGGGAGGTGTCTGGCACTTGAGTCACACAAACAGCAAATGTTTAGCCACACAGATTGCACGGAAAAAGTAAAACAAACTGAAACAGCTCTCCCTGCACAAGCCACGCAGAACCAGGACTGCGTGGGAACGGCGCTTCCCCAGACTGGGTGGGGGGAAAAGCAGAGCTCTCCATCTGCTCCGGGCGAGGGAGAGGACATGTGCTCTCTCCCCTGCCTCTTCCGCTTCATTCCAACATCTAAAAGTCATTTCTGCAAAGTGTCTGGGTAGCTGCTGATAACCAGCAGGTAACAACTCAGCATGGACAATGACATTTGGAGAGAGGGAGAGAAATGACAGCTTCACACCGGCAAAGCTGGGACATTTAGAAAGAGAGACAGGAAAAGAAATGAAGATGAAGGATCTTAAAGCTCTTCCTACTGGGAACTCGAGAGATTAAAATATTTTACATAACGGTACAGAGTCAGTGGAAAGTACAATATAACTTATGAAATGAAAATTGTATTTGAAAGATAGAGTCTCCTAAAAGTCAGCCATTTCTTAACTTGCGGAAGAATAAAACGACTCAGCCGCCTCCATCCTCTAAAGCAAGCTCAAAAGTATGAAACAAGGAAAACTGTTACATCCTCCTCAGCCTGCTGATGAGTCTCTTGCACAATATGTAGTAATTTTGATTTATCTGAGAGACCTTAGATGGAAAAATAGCCTGAGGTAATTTTTCAAGCTTAATTTAGTTCATTTAATATTTAATGACTTAATGAAGCTGTCTATGTGCAGAGCTTTCACTCTGGGAGGAATCTTAATGTACGTAGAGAACTTAGGAAATTGGCTTAAAAAATGTAAAAGGAAATCAGTAACTTAATTCATAAATGATTGACCTCAAGAATCCTAGGACATTTTCCAGACCTCCAGAGCTCGCAGCTCAAATCTCTCTCCGAGACCTGATAGGGCACAACACTGTGGGATTTTATTTCAGTTGTACATTAAAAGAATTATTAAGACCATCTGTGTAGGACTTTTCTCTCTAATATACTGTCTGACAAGTGATTTTTTTTCTCTCTCTTTCTCGAATGACATTTTCACCTTGTATTTTCACCTTCTGAGTCGTTTGCTTGTCAGCTCTCCCCAACCTATTTTCTGTTCAGGAGCACAGGGTCATTCACCACCCTTCATCACTGGGAAGGAGAACCTTGCATTTTTCCTCTAAACATGGTTTTTCAGTCTTATTCTCTTTCAAAATGTATTATAAAGGACTTCCAGTCTTTCTGTGCTAATACGTATAAGACAACACTGGTTTCATCAGGCCCAGAAGCTCTTGAAGGAGATATAATCTTTAAGTCCAATTAAACTTATAGATACATAGATGCTAATTACTCTGCTTTAGCAGTTGGTTTCATTCTCCTCTAATCCAACAGCAGCTCCAAACATCAGCTCTGACCTGGGAAAAGGAGAGAGGAGCCAATTGCTTTTGAAGATCCCCCACTCTGGGCTTTTTGATAACCAGAAATTCTGAGATTAAGAGAAACAGAAGGGTGCAGGAATAGCTTTTACCAATATTAAAAGAGAAACACTTCATGAATCGTTGATTCTGTGCTATTCAAGTAAATATTTACCATATGCAAACGTTTAAGTGTGGTATAAGAGTCTGTTACATAGTGGGTTTGTATAAACATATAAACATCACTTAACCCCAGGGCAGAATCCATAAGGACAATGAGCTGAGTGTATCTGACAGGAGGGAAATAAAAACAGAGCTGGCTCATGTTTTCCAAGCCTTAAGGGTACTCAAACAGTTCTTCAGGTTGAATTAGTTTTGCTTTTTCAATATACTAACAACATTTTAAGCCATGAATGTACCTGGATAACCCAGTCCTACACACTTGAACCTCAAAGAGACTGGTAATTAAATCTGGTAGGGTCCCCCCACTTTTGAAAAATCTTGGGAGGAAGAGATCCAGGTCTACTTACAGTAGTCCTAACAGGCATGCAGGTGGAAACAGGCCTTTGACATTTACCTGTGCCTCCTGGAATGCTGAACAGCTGTCAGAAATTGTTCTCCTCTTCAGTAACACGATAGAGTCTCTGTATAGTGTGCAGTGGTTTTGTGTGTATCCATGTGGAAGCACATACTCCTGAGTTAATATTTTTACTTGCACCGCCTTTTAGAAATTTTAATCTCTCTCCACAAAGTCCTGGTTATCTCCTCAGGTGTCATAAAAATCAAATCCATTATCACTCTGTGTAGTAAACTATCAGTGACTACTCTCCCCCAGAATACAGGTTCTCAACCACTTTGGGGCAGTTTACAACTTTCACTGGAACTGCATCACTTCCACTCATCCAAGCCAGTGTCCCACAGTCCAGAGAGCACTTCTAGGGAGGTGGTGAAATGATAGGCTATTCCCAGGTTTTTTTATGTTTATAGAAGAGAAGAAAGATTTCTCTCTCTCAGACACCTTTCAGGCGCATCACGGAGCAGATTTCAGGGAAGCAGCACTGAAGGCACGTAGGTGTTGGCAGCTGAATGAAAGCTTTCTTGCCACCAGGAGTGTGAGAGAGCAGAGCAGTGGGTGGCATCATCCTGTTAATAACCTGTCTTCCCTTTCTGACATTTCAGCATAGCCTTGCGATTATTTGTGGTCAGCCAAGTGCTGGAAGACCCTCCAAGAGAGCACCATAACGGTGTTGCTTCTAGATACACAATCCCATTTCCCCCTGCAGCTGACTCCCCCCATTTTTCTTTTTTTCCTTGGTTTTCTACATCCACATCAGAAGTTGGGTTTGTTTTGTACTGTTTTTAGCACCAATTTTGTTGCCAGGTGCTGCTCAGTGAGAACATTCCCTTTTTATATCCCATGGGCCATGCACTAGCTCTCACACCTGCTCTGCTCTCCCAGGGGACACCTTACCATCGCTTTCCAGCAGCATAACTTATGCCCTGACCTCCAGAAAAATTTTCACTGCCAAACCTACAGCAACAGAAGATGTATTGCCTGTTCCTGTGAGCCAGGTACCTCTCCAGAGAGTTAAACCATCAAGTATAAAGGGTTAGCTGGTTTGCCAAAAACTCAGTGATACTAAATAAGTTTACCCTTGAGTGATTTAATCTTGTATGAGATAAGGTGCATCCAGTAAAAGGCTGGCACTACAGAAAGTCTGGTGACCTCTCTTTGATAACATGACTTAATTAAAAACTATTTTCTCCTGAATTCCTAAGGCAATTGAGGTGGTTAAAGGGTTTTACAGCTATGTCCACAGAGCCTGCTAGCTCCAAAGGCTGAATCCTCACCAAAATACAATCATCTTGTGGTGTTGACTTGCTCCACATTGTGCCTGTCTCCTGAAAACTCATCAGCCTAGTCTGAGCAGTGATGGCTTCATAGGGAACTCACCTCCCTACCCACTGGGGGCAGAAACTGCCATAACGTGGCAGTGGGAAAGGAGGAAAATCATGAAAGTTTGCCAAAAAAGCAGAAATCTAACACTAACTAACTTTTAAAGAGAGATTACAGCTGTCGTTACCTCCTCCTCCTTCTGCACTGAAACTCTTGATACTCTACCCTTACAGAAAAGCCAAGTATAAGTTAATGGTCATGAATTATCTTTCTATATAGTTTAAGACTCACCTGCAAGATTGCTCTAACTGGACTTTTTCTTCATGCAGCACACAGCCCCCCAAGGATCTGGGCACAGTGTGCTTTTACATTTTACCAGATTCACACAAATTTCCATGTTTTGTTGCCAAAAAATAGCAGAAATTAAAAACGTATCACACAGAAAATTGGTCTAAAAGTGGTGTTAAGAAGATGAATCTGGAGCAGTCCTACCTTTTTTTGGCCAGCCTTTGTTATTCTAGGGATGTCAAACAACTGTCCTGTGTAGTACTGAACCCCACTGAACATAATGACAGCAATAGAGTCCCCTTCCTTCTCAATTACAGCAAGGATATCTTCCGTCCTCAAGGTCTCCTCCCCCTAAAACAAAGTTAAAGCACACATTTTACATCAACTCTGGCAGTAATGAAACTGTCAGTCCTTATTTCATAATCTATATTTTACCATGAGCCACGCTGCTTGCATAAGGAGATCAAAAGCAAATCCTTAGCATGGTAATGATGTACAAAGGTAGTGCTACGAAGTAGCCTGTGAGCAAGTAACCTCAAAAAAAAATCATTAGCAAATGAGTCTTGAAGGTGCCAGTTATAAAAAGCCTATTCACTTCATGCTCTAACATGCTTTATACTCTAATATTTCTGGCAGTTTTAATTTACAGCAAAAAATTCCTGGTGCAAACAGAATATCTAATGATTTTTAAGTGGCATCTGAAATTTGTGACACCCACAAGACTTGAAAGTTGTCTATCACTTTCACTCTGTACTTTTTTAATAAATTTGGTATCCCACAGGAAGCTATTATAAACCTGCCATATTTATATTTCAAAAACAATGTCTCACATCATGAAAAGTACAAAAATCCCCAAACCTGTGGTCATTAAATATAGAAAAATTTCAACCAAAAGGGAAAAAAAAAAATCCTCATTTTTGATTCTTTATAGGAAAATTACTGCCCCATCCTCCTCCTGTCTTCCTAGCAAGGGATCTTGTAAAACATACCACCACCTAGGGATCAATTAGGCAGTGAAAACCCAGAATTAAATTAGACTTGTTACTGAAAAGAGCTTGGGCAAGATGGTTGAATTGCAAGGGACTGTTATTATCTCAACAATCTCTGCAAATCTATCAAGCGTTCAGGAGTGGGCTCTTTACTCACAAGATGACTCAGATTTCAGAAGCAAAAGGTCACCCTCGGTTTATAGTTAGGTGACAAAGTTCTTAATGCTGCAGAAGTGAAGCGAGGCAGCCTTTCAAATTAATCTGAATTGCATATTACTCAGAGCAGACCTTTCTCTCAGTCTGTGCTGATACAGACAGTGTTGCTCGTGTTATGGCAATCTCTCACCTTAGGACATCCAGAGGACATTGGGCTTTCTCAATGAGCTGCTATATTTTGCAGGTGACTCAGTGTGCTGTCAGTTTTTGCAAACAGGAAAAATAGGGAAAATAACCTTTCTCTTGTTGTTGTTCCAGGAAAATTCACTATTGAGTCAGAAATTATAAAGTGGGGTTTAATGTCAAAAAATATACCCGGAAACAGACCACACGATTCATAAATTTTACCTAAAGAATTTTAATACCAATTATAACTTTTGCAGGCAGACACTAACACTATTTGAGAATATATGCCCTACTTTCACATGAAATATGCTTCTGCCCTTAGTGACAGCAAGCAGAGCTGACATATTCCTCACCAACCTGCCGTGGCTGCAGCAGAAGCATGCTTTTCTCCACATCCAGCCCGTGCAGTCGAAGCTGGGACTCAACAGCATACTGGAAGAGAATTCCATACAGACAACATTAACACAAATACATGATATACAACAAAAAGAAAAAAAAAAAAAAAAAAAAGGACAAACAAATCAGAAGTTCAAAAAGGAATGAAGAAGTCTTGCCTTTCACTGAAAGTAATGCTTTGAAAGCATAATCTAACTTCACTGAAAAGTTTGCAGATTTCCTTTGGATTAAAAAAAGACACAAATTGAATTCATATAAGAATGCAAGGACTTTTGAGTGAGAAGTCAAAGCCTGAATCCTACAGGATAAGTTCATGGAACAGAATGGGGGTAGAGATGGGGCCCTGAGCAGCCTGATCTAGTAGGTGTCATCCCCACCCATGGTTGGAGGGTTGGAACGAGGTGATCTTTAAGATCTCTTCTGACCTAAACCATTCTGTGGTTCTATAATGTGATGGAGGATGTGCTTTATCAGATGCCAGAAAGCCAAGCCTGCATGGATAACAGCCAAGGAGAAGATTGAGCATCCCTTCTGCAGAGCCCAGGGTACCCACTTTTCTGGGTCACACACACTCAATCCCAGCCTGCCACAATCCCCTGCTGCCAGCACAAATGAGGCTTGGCCAGTATATACATATGGCCCTGTGCTATTCTCACCTCTTCTATTTGCTGCACAGCTGGCAGGAAATAAGAGCTTTACACTCTCATAATATTTTGAAAATCCTATAGGCCAATTTTATAGATTAATGATGATTCTGGGGAATCAAATAACAATCATCAAATCACAGAATGAAGTAGTTTAAAATTTCACAACAGGAACTGGAGCAGAGGAAGTTGCAGAGATTATTGCTGAACCGCTGTAGAAATTTGGGAAGATGGAGTCCAAGCATACAAGTGTGCCTGGAGCAAATGTGGGATTAATATAAACATTACTTAGAATAGAAGCAATTTGAGGTTTATACATCTGTGCCACCATCTTTGCTACAAATAAACCCATTAGTAGCTTGAGTCATTTTTATCACACCTTAGAGATCAAATTTGTTATCAATTTCCACGAGTTGATGGCGTTGATGATAAAGTAGCAGTGGGCCACAAACCCAAAGATTAATTTGCTCCAAGCTCTCATGCACGGGCTATTGTCTCCTATTTTACAGCAGACAAATGATGTTTGAACTAGTAATCTAAAGTGCTAAGAACAAACATTTCCATCTCTGTCTGGGGATATATAAGTGTTAATGTTGTGAGTTTGTATTGATTTGGTTTCATAAAGTAAAACAGCAACAAGAATTAATAAAACATTTACAACTTTGGTTGATTTAGGCCAGTAGTTTGCTCAATGTCTTTAAAAAGACTCATAAATCAATGCACCCATTCAATCTTTTCCTCTTGTAAGACTTTTTATTTGAACAAAAGGAATAAAGCTACGATCTGTAAAATATGCTGAGCTCAAAGGCTTCTGACAGATTTTTTTATTGTAATGTTACTTGGACAAGATGAGCTAATAAATATTCAAATCATACTACTGATATTCTTTGGAAAAATATGATTAATAATACAAATATGGTGAAATATTCATTTCTTACATGGTCAGAGGGAAAGGCTTTTGCTTCTAGAAGAATTTTATAGCGTCTTGGAGTAGGCTTAAAGAAAGATAGCTGTTAAAGACAAAAAAAAATTATGTTGAAATGTATCTAAGCAGAGATGAGAGAGATTCTCTCAGCATATAACTTAATAAAGACTGCTTTACTTTCATGTAGACTACAGAGAATCCCCCAGAAATTACAAATATTTCTTTGTCCATATAACATTTACCAAAGTAGGAAAGTGTTATAACACTGTATTTCATATATTCATAACAAAGGCCACAAAAACCCAGCAGTGAAAACTTGCATTTAACAGGAATCAACAGCAAAGCTTTGACTACAGCCAGGGAAGCTGGGATTTCACCCAGCTCCATCCAGGAAGCAAGCTGGTAGCAAACAGTGAAAAAGAATTCGATTTTCATTCCTGCACAAAATGTTTGTCATTGAATCATCCCTTACTCCGAAACAACTCTGACCAAAGGACTAAGCCTTCTGCAAAGATCTGATCTAAGCACCTTCAGGATGGTCTTTGCTTCTTAGTTCCTCACGTGAAGGCAAGCTGGGCTGGCCACCATGCCAAGAGGATTAGTAGAAGACTTACAAGTCCTCCCGCTCAAGCTTGGGTTACACAAAGCTCTGCGTGGACTGTGTACTCGAGAAATGCGGGACAGGTCTCACTTTATTGCACTTAATTCAGGGCAGAGTAGCCAAGTGAATTGGCCATCCTGCCGTCTTAATTTAACAAAGGTCAGAGGCATTGCACAGAGGAGCAGATTCAAGGGATAAACTTTTTGCGTGAATCACTCAAAATGAAGCTTCACATCCACACTCAGCTGAACTAAATCTTTGGAAATACTAGAGAACCAGAGGCAGGTTTTATGCAGCCACAGAGGCAACCTGAGCATTTAATAAGACACATTTATGGTCACTACGTAATACAAATCAAAATTCTCTACCACATTTTAGGTATGTATAAAATAGTTTAACTCTGTTATCTCTTGTTTAAAAGCTTGACTGAAATTACAGCTTTGTCTTGCTCACAGTTGAGCTCTTGTTTCCTGAACTTCAAAATTTGGTGTGAAATTGAAATTTGAAAAATTCCTTGTAAATGTTCCTTAAATAATGTCTCACTTGGTGACTGACAGGCAACACATGTGAGAACAGCTCAAACTTCCCCTACAAAGTCCTTGAAAATATTTCTCTGTCCAGCTTTTCTGCTTAATATTGAGTGAGGCCAGGTCTTGCACATACATTATTCAAGATACAGCTCCCAAGGCTTAAAAAAAGTTAGTCTGTCACCCAGGTCTGTCTCTGTGAGGTCCTCAGAAAGCACTTTGCTTACACACACAAAGAAAGGAGAAAAATACTTGTCAACAAAACATCAAATATACATCATAAAGACATACCATCTGTAGGTGCAAGTTAACAGTCAGCCCATTCATTAAGGCTATTTCGTGTCTTTGGGCCCCTGAAATAATAAAAAGATAAAACATAAAAAAACACTGGTTGGAGGTTTTCTTAAAATTTTCAGAGAAATCTAGTACAGTGGTGAGAAAGCAACAGTATGTGTTCAGTCAAAGTCTCTCTAAAGACTAGAAAGGAAATGAATGTTTGAGGTGTCGTCAGAGTGAAGTAAAAAGATTTCTTGTCTGACTCACTACACTGCACTGGCAGGAAAATATTTATTTTTTCAGGTCAGCCACAGAAAACAACAAACAATGAAGTATTTCCATTTCCCAGAAAACCACTGGTAGATTTATTATCATGAATAACTCGGGCAAATCAGGTCAGAAGTCTATATGTAAAGCAAGACTTGAAGGCTTTTTTTTGTCAGTAGTTTATACGTAACACAAGTGAGAAGACATATTGAGATAATCACCTGTGATAAGTGGTTGCTGCAATGTCAAGCTAAATCTCATCCCAAATAAAAAAAAAAAAAAAATTAAAAAAAAAAAAAGAAGCAAAATTGACCCATTGAATATAACAGACCATTTTTAATGTAACAGCTTCACTAGAAGACATATCTGCATCACTCCCAGGAGACTAATAACAGGCAGAACTAATGGACTAACAACTAATTGTTATTACAAAGTCTTTAGTAAAAAATTCTCCAGTGCTTATCAAGCTCTGGTGAAAAACTTCAGGCAAGTCAAGAGACTGCATGTTGGTCAGGGAGCCACTGAGAATTGGAGAAAATTAATTCCTGTTTCTTTCTGGTTCACCTGATGTCTGTTGTTGAAAATCAGTAATTCACACTCGAGAAAAATCTGTGTCTTGAGTTTTCTTAATCTGGGACATAGGCTCATGCACTTTGCCCTAAACATCACCCAGACATTGAGTTCACCAGAGGTGGGGAAAGGCTGGGGACAGAGAGGGAGGAAGACAAGTGTAAGCAGGCAGGGAGGGCAGCAGCCACCCTGGAGATCAATTAAGGGGAAATAAAACACGATAATGGGGCAAAAAGGGTAAGGGGAGCTCCACAAGAAATGGGGAGGTGATTCCCAGGTTTCTCCTGTCCCTGCTTTTGAGGGTGCACAATACCCCAAATAACACAGGGAACAGGCAGCAGAAGCAGAGACATATTCTCACCACATCCCAAAGAGTTTAAGTTCATACTTTACCAACACAGGAAAAAGGCATAACCATGGGTTGACCTCAATAAAAGCAAATACAGCCAAAAACCATGGAAATCTATAGTTAAAAAGTGTTAATAAATCCTTCCCAAGCAGGTCTCAGCTTCTTCCAGCACAGGAGCAGCCAAAAAACATTCTCATTGAGGTGCTCAAGGGCCTTTCTATGTGTTGCTGAAATCTCCAAGTTTTGGACAGAAAGCTTTGGCAATATTTGTCAGTGACTCTGGAGGACCAGGGATGAGCCATAAGGAAAAAGAGATGTCATGAATAAGTTCCCTCCTTCAGACACCACAAACATCATCAAGTTTTTGTAAAGAAATATATAAAGGATTAGTTATTCTTAGGCAAAAATAAGCTCTGTTTCTCACTTAAACTCCCCTCCTTTGCTTTCTTTACTTCCCTCTGATAGCATTGAATCTGCAGTCTCCATGCTGCTGGAAGAGGTCACCTTGTGGCTGTTCTCTTGCAGATATAGAAGACAGCTAGACAGAGTGATTGCAGCTCAAAACAGTATTATTTGCAGTCTTAATATTTCTATGGAACTCCTGAGGCTGAAAAAAGGGACAGCATCAGGAAATGGTATTGTTCTTATTTCTCCCTCTGCTCCTTCCATGGAATCTGTGGCTTTCCCAGCAAATTCTGCACGAGCAATCCTCTCCCTGCTGTACTGTTTCCCTATAAAACAAATGGTTAATGTGTAGATCCCTTTTAGCTGCATGCTAGCATCCCAAATTAAATATGACACTACATTTGTCATGTAAGTCTTGGTCTTCCGTAAATTATATATTTATTAAAGGCTTTCCATTATTGAATTTCATGCCCACAAAACAAACCTCATCCGTGTCATTGGAAAACTGTTATCCTTTATAACCTGCACTGCGTTTCGGAAAACAACCTTCCTATGATCCAATTAACCTATTAGAATATTCAAAGACCCGGCACACGGGAGACAAAATTATGTTTGCTCTCCTTATTTCCTAACTTTATACCATATCTCCAAGACAGGCTAAAACCTGTATGTTCTGCATGATAAATCTCCTCTTTAATAAAAGGAAGCAGCATTTGCAAAGTACAACTTCAGAGACAATTATGATTGTGTTAGGCAGACGCTGCCATCCTTCTCCTCTCTGACTGCTGCGGAAGGCTGATCCTCGATGGAGTAAGCAGAAAGCATTTTGTAAAATGATTGGAAAAAGGCTAAGGGCCCCAATTTAGAAAACATTTTGGTTATTTCAAATAATTCTTATCACTCAAAGTCACTGCAAATCTGCTCAGCGTTCAGTCTTCCCTCAACCGAGACCTGCCCGAGCACATCGTGCAGCAGCAGCCATACAGTTAATCTTGTTCCATCAGAAGGTGATCCTGCCAAGGTTGTAATGTTTTAATAAAGTCTAGTAGGAGAAGCAGAGATTGCCTTCACTGCGTTGTGCCACTCGGTGTGAGCTCAGAAAAAAAGCTTTGGCCTCCATTGACCTTGACTCTTCATTTCACAATGTATTTACTACTGTAACTTTCATTGAACAAGAAAATGTGACTGCACTTAATAAGCAAGGTGTTCGAGCACTATAAACCATTAAACAGGCAAAGGTGTTTTACAGTCTTTGGTCCATTCCTGAATAAATCTCACCAAATGGTTTTACTTCCTACTGCTGCTTAGAGTGAGAAATGACAATTCTTCCCCCTCCTCCGTAATATATTCAGTACCGAGTAAAAAACTCTGTAAAATTCTGTTATTATTCTTAAATTAAATTCACTAAAAAAGGAAATTCAGAGTTCACTCAACTCATACATGATCACCTTGTAGGAAAACAACACTTAAACATAAATTTGGGAATTGGAACTAGATGATCTTTAAGATCTCCTCCAACCTAAACCATTCTGTGATTCTACGAAATAACACATTGGAAGACAGCATTTTACCTTAACATTTTTTTCCTATATTTATTCTCTCACCCTCTTCACTATTACCTACAATTTTAAAAATCAGAATTTATTACAATGCATAATTATTCTGGAAATACTAATTCATTTGCATTCCAAGAACCATTTACCTAAATCATGAAAAAAGCTATGAAGATATTATCTAAATAAAACCCTGCACATAAATTTGAGGGCCAGATTTGAGCCCAAAAGATATCTTATAGTTCAATTAAACAAAGCCCCAAAAATCCAAGCCAATAATGTTAACATTACATTTACTTCTGAGGAAAACAACAAAACTATGTAACACTTCCCAGGAAAGAAATTTAAAAACAAAAAGTAGGTTAGTGGCAGCGTGATCTCAGTCAAAATTTTTATAGAAAATTTTAAAATGTTTGTTTACAATGAAGAAAATTATAATAAGTTCAGTGTGGTTTGGCCATTGTGAAATAAAACACCAATGTCCTATGGAACCTGGAAAAGGAAAATAAGGAGATGGACAAGCAATCAGATGAAATTTAAGTAAAGTTCTCATTTTCCTCTCTTCAGACCTAGAATGCATCTTTTAGTTAAATTTATATTAAAATAGAAACACAGCTGGCAGCCTCTGCAAGACAGATGGTTGAGGGGAAAAAGGGTCCCAGCCTGACTCCCTGCTTTCTGCAGTGACTCTTAACCTAAAGCTGAGGCCAAATGGACCCTGGCACCAGCAGCGACAGGAGGTCAGGGCTTAGCCTGCCCCAGCACCCTGTGGGGACCCCACAGGGGTCCAAGTTTTGCAAACAAAGCAGTGGAAAATGTTCACAGAAGGTGATGCAGAGAAATAGGACAATTTAAGTGCCTCCAGCTGCCCTTCGGGAGATCTCATCTGTCTCCCTCATCGTTATCTGAAGAGCATCAGCGGTCTTATTGTTTTACGTTTAGGTGCATGAAAGTATGTAGTGTGACTACTCTCCCATTTTCACAAGACATAAGAGAAATTCTCCACCCTCCAGTTTCAGAAATTCAAGGTTTCCAGTCACAAATTCCAAGTCACATTCCCTCACCTGCCCACAGCTTCCCAGTTAAGTTACCTTACCAGAACAAGAATATCCAGGGGCCAAGGAGGATGGGTCATACTAGAGAAATCCTTACATTTCCACACACTCCACCCCTTTATATCCTCACATATTTCTGTTCAGTGATAGTTTAAGGGTGAAGGTGCAGAGCTTGTCCTTGAACGTAACAAAAGCAAGAAAAGTTATTTCTTAACCTCCTGAGCAATACCAGGTACAACAGTAGCAACCTACAAAATCAGAACCCCAATCTGCACTTTTTTTATTTCATTCTACAAAAGGTTTTTTTCTGCATAGCCCAGTGATGTCCAGTGTAAACACACATATTTATGTTATCTCAGTGCTTACATCATGGATAGATCGGCTACAACAATAATTTATTGCATTTGTTCTGCTCCAGTAATAACACCCTGTATTTCAGCTATTTGGAAACTTCATAAAGAATTCAGGAAGTGATTTTATTTATGAATATATAAATAAACTTGTCATGAAACATTCTTTAATGTCTCTGTTTTCAATTGTTCCAATCCCATTTGCCTTTCTTGAAGGAGAAAAACCATAATTTTCTCATTGAACACTTGTCTACAAGGAGAAATTACGATACAATATCCAGCATAGAGTAGGTCAACCTAATTGTAATTTTTTTCCTTAGTGATGGCACAAATGAATGCCTGATAGTCACTATTGACAGTTGCTTTCAACACCTAAACTGAAATATGGGCCAAATCTTTCTAAAATTTACTAACCTGGCCTTGACAACAGCTGTGAGACTGGGGGAGAAAAAGACCCTGCCAGGATAATTTCTCTTTCCCCTTGTGACAGCAAAAACTCTGAAGGAGATCCCAGTGAAAAACTATTTCAACTACACAGAGTTAGACACGACAGAGGAAATTTGCATTCACACTCAGCCAGCTGCTTTCCTGGCTGGCAAATACACCAGCAGAAATCTCCAGAGCTCCTTCTCAACCTCCAGAATAACCAGAAGCACTCACTGCCAAGGTTCTGCAGCACTGCAGGCCCTTCCAGGGGTACAGCAGGGTAATGGGAACTCATCAATACAGGCCCTGCCCCCATTATGTGCTTCATTGACACAAGCAGCTCCCAACATGAGGCTGGATTTAGTGGTGGGAAGAGGAGGAAAAGCAGAAAATGTCAGATAGGAATCATTTTTCAAAGGGGAAGGTTCATCATTTTACTTTTAGGAGAGTGACTGAGAATCTGTAACACCAAGTGCCCTTTTTAAAGGGCTTCACGTGTTAGTCCAAGTGGTTTATGATGCTCCAAGAAACCCTTTGCTGCAATTAGTTTCATGACATGCATATGCTCATATATTCTCACATACCTTCATCTATTAAATCACTCCAGTCTTAAAAAAGTGTTAGTCCATAGTCAGAAAAACTACTTTAAAACAAAAGAATTAAAGGAACTCAATTCTGGTTACAGATTTTCAGTCTTAAAAGAAAGCAATTTTTTTTATTATTTTTTTAATTTTATTTCTGGAGAAAGTTTTTCCCCTGCAGTTCACACCTACCAACCAGTTGAGCCATCAGGTCCAGGATGCACTCGTCTGCCAAAGCCCACGGGCGCCGGCCATTGAAATGGCCATGAACACCTCTGAAAGGGAAGAAAGAAACAGTGAAAACAGAAACTGTTCCCTTTGGATCAGTCCTAAGAAACATATCTGATTTGGAGCCCCCACATTTGGAGGAGGGAAGAGGAGGGGGAGGAGACTTGCCCAAGCTGATAACCTTTCTCATGCCATAAAAGCTTGTAGCAAATGCAATTAATTTGTTGGTTTCTGACAGGTTCTCAGTTGCTTGACTGTTTATTTTGACCCACAAAGTTCCCTTAGAAATTCCCCAGAATTAAAGATGATAGCTTTTTCAGAAGCCCTCTGGAAGCGGTTGCATGGGTACCAGAAGCCTCTGGGAACAAAGGGCATCTCAGTGTGGGATGGCACCTGCTAACCCAGGCTCACATCAACTGCACAGGGAGCAGAGATCATCCACAGAGTTACCCCACCTGCAGTTCCAGCTGAACATTGTATGGTGCAGAGGATGATAGATTTGAACACTGCCTTGCTCCCAGACAGAAATATTTCTTGTCAGAAACAATTTCCATCCTCCCGCATCTCCTGACTGAGCTCACCCTCCTGCATAAACCAGTAGGTACTTTGTGTCTATGCAGGTCAGAACCTGCCCCAGCTGAGCAGCTTGCTAATTTTTACTGCTTCTCCTCTCCCTGACAAGTTGTTCTAGATCTAAGAGTGCATAAAGCTTTTTGGGTTGATAAAGGGTATTTAAAAACTTTATATTGCAAACTGCTCTTGTCTACAGTGGATCATGTTGTCACCTTAAGCCCAAGTGCCCCACTATTCTGGAGTGACAGATATGTACATTCAGTCCTGGATTATGTGCTCTGAACTAATTTTTCCTTCAGTTATGACAGAGAAGAAAACTTCTAAAGGTAGCTACCATGCATATATAAATAAAAAGTTGCCAAGTTTCTTAAACATGCAGGGTGTAGAGTAGAGATTTAAATGCAAATGGAGGCAGATTGAGGAAAGTAATAATGGTGCTAATCCAGGGGAACATTGCTCTGGGCTCCCATCTCACACTGGATGATTTTCATATTTGCTGAGCACCACGGGGTACTTGAGGAGTCAGAAACACCAGGCTGCATGAGGCTGACTATAAAGCTGTTTCAAAATAGGGACAAAGCCAATAGGAAGCTGGTAGAGAGGAAAAAAAGACCCTAACAGCTTTGATGTGGGGAGGAAAAAAAAAAAAGAAAAAAGAAAACCTTTTAAAGAAGAACAGGCCCACAATGTTCACATAAAATCATGAGAGGACAGCTGGAAGATTAAGACATGAGAAAGGAGGGTGCATAAGACACTACCCCATCCTCAAGGCTATTTAAGAGATTGCTTTTCCCCATCCACCTCATACTTTCCCTTCTCAGGGAGAATTTAATTCTGTCTCCCATACAAATTACCTGAGCATTTTCCAGTCAGACCCTTTCTGATTGACTTGGGTCTAATTCACACCACCTAGGGATATTTCCAAAAACCCCTACAATGCCAGAGAATAGAACTGCTGCAAAAAGCACAACTGTATTAACCATTTCAAGCCTGTCATCCTTGCAAAATATCTATTTTTGGACTAGATTAGGTCAACAGATGAAGAAGGGCACAGGCACAATGGAACATCTCTTAGAGACAGAATAACATCCCTGGGTTTGACAAGACCAGTCCTCCAACAGATGACAAGGAGCACCCTGATCCCCAATTTGGATAAGGTCATGGTACACCAGCTCACTGCTTTTCTCCATTTTAGAATTGCTCTCTGATGAGACCTTGACAGCAGAGAGCGGGCAGTGTGAAATAGCTCTCATTTACAAGAGCATTTCATAGATGAGGAATAAAGGCAGTGGGTGGGTAAGGGAGAAAATGCTGTAAGGGGCAGGGCTAGTGCTAAAATTCCCTCCCTTCTATCAAGCCATAATGCAGCTGCCTTCCCTGAAGACAGTATTATGTGTTTCGCAAACAGCAAGACATTTATTGGTAATTTCCCTTCTTATTCTTCACTGTAATATAGTGATCAAGGGACTTTAGGATAATAGAGACTGTTAAAGTGAAACCCCCAAAGGTTTGCAGTGGCTCCCAGCCCAAGGGGAATCTGTATTTTTGAAAGAGGATAGTGAACATAATAAGATGGGAAAAATAAGTCCTAACTACCTATGGGATTCTCTTTCATTAGCTTTCTCTGGTTTTATGGCCATTAGTGTCTTCCTAATGGGAATTTACTAATGAAAGTTCTCTCTATCAGTACACAGGACTAACAAAACTTCAGAATAAATTTCCAAGTTATCGTGAGAACAGATATGAAATTTTGGACATAAGAATACTTTATTTTGAGGAAAAAACACGGACATTTAGCTATATTGAAAGAGGGGAGAGGCAGCATTTATTATTATTCATATTAATATTATTATTACTGCACAGCTTACAGCTTGCCTCCCTCTTGATGGCCTATATAAATGACAAGAGACAAAAATTATAGCCATTAAAATGGTAGTTAAAGGCATATTCTTGGACCCTTTTTTTATTTTAATCACATGAAACTCTGTAGACTTTGCTGATGGCACAATACATCCTATTACACTTAGGTTGTAAAATTCTATGCTCTGCCTCAGAGAATTTATATCTCTGTATATTATGCCACCCCTCTCAGCTCTGGTAGGCACTGGGGGTAATAATCTTTAAGGACACAAGTGCTATGTTTCTGGCATTCCCCTCAGACATGGAGAGCCTTTATCCCTTTTCTCTTTCCCACTGCACCCTTGGTTGGAAGAGAGATTTAAATCAAGGTACCCAAATTAATGAATACAAAATGTTGCCCATCAATTCATAAAGCATCACACAAACAGCCTATTCCTTCAACTACTCTGAGAGTTTCTCGTAGCCCAAATTAATTTTTAGTTGGTTACCATTTTATTTTCAATTTGGCAGGAAATCACAATGCCAGGTTTTATTTGCCGAGTTCTGGTTGATTTAAAGCTCACTAGGGGAGCTGCAAACACATTTTCCGAGATGATCCCAGGGTTTCAAAGGCAGTGAGAAAAGGGATTTAAATTAATTGCCAGCTTCAGGAATCTTCTGTGCTCATCCAAATCTTGTTCAAGTGCAAATTTCTTTCTTGCTTCTTTGCCAAAAGTGATGCAAGGTATTTAATGAGCCAGCACAGACTCTGAAGTTGGACCACGGTTTCAAGCAAAGAAACAACCAGAAAGTAAAAAAAACCCTATGGATCAGTAAAAAAAGGCAAAGCTAAAAACCCAGGGCATTATAATGGGCAGGTCTAACAAACAGACTGTGAAAGGCACAGGGCTGAGATGACTCCTGAGAACGGCAGGAGAGGTGGGTCCGTCACACAGGACATGGACAAGCCTCTCTGAGCTGCACTGCTCTTTGCAGGGCTGTAACCTCTTGCAGGATTAGTTCACCACATAGAACCAAAAATCCCTCTTGACTCACTGAAAATAGTCCTTGCTGCTGCAGGTGTTATATTACAAAACCTTCCACGGACTAGGAGGTTGTTAATCTGCTATATTCATGTCAGAAGCCTGTTGCCAGGCTGCTTCAGTGCTTGGAACTGTGTGTATATATACATGTTTTATTTCTAGCCTCAATTTATTAATTCCTAGTTTACATTTGCTGTGCCAGAATGCTATTTCACATAAGTGGCTCCAATTCCCCCCCAACGTTTACCCATTGATACACCCACAGAGAACAATAATTTTTTTCCTTGCAGTCTTAATTTTGCTCAACCTAGTGACCCTAATCCTCAAGGCTTCCATACAGCAGGTTCTCCACTCCCCAGGTGCCCTGCCAGCCCTTCACAAGAGCATAACAACTGGCTACAGCAAGCTCTGTTCTCTTTTAATAGTTCCACTTTAATGAGTTACTCGGACATGGGAGACATTTCCCACTGCACTGAGTATGTTCACATGCAATAATGATTCTATAAAATATTTTAATTACTTAACCGGTTCCGGCAGGGCAAAGTGAAAACACTGAAAAGCACCTCCTGGTCTTTCTCCAACCAGATAAGTCCCTTTAAGTTTGGACTTCTAGATTTCAAAATATTGGGTTATTGGCTACTCTAGGCTAAGCATGAGGCAACAACTCCTCACCCCCTCTTCTTGCCCCTCATTCAATAAATCTTGGATTTAGCTGAAATCACAACAGAAAGATGAAGTCTCTAAGGCTCCTTTAAATCCATACTAAGAATGCCAGTGGCTTGGATTTGTAGTGTTTATACATTAGCATTAAAAAAAAAAAAAAAAGACTGAGGAACATGGAGAGGAAGAACACAAAACCAGAGAAGGTGTGTGGGAGGTAGTCTAAGAGAAAAAAGCCATAACCCAGCATTTAAAGTGGGGGTGGACGAAAGGAGCTCAGCACTGAGGGGGAACATAAGAAGAAAAGCATGAAAAAGCCTCTTTCTCCCCCAGCTTTGCTCTAATGAGTTGCCATCACCACAAGGAGATAAAGCTCTGAGCTTCCCTGCCCTTGACCACCACTGCTGGGTAAATCTTCCCTTTCACTCTTGCCATTAACTACAAGCAGTGGAAACCATTTAAATGGACTCGTAGCTATTTGAGATGGGTCCCAAGACACAACAAACAGAAAATGCGATAAACCAATTTATAAGAAAGCCAGAATCTATACCATTGCTGACTTGATGGATGTGCCTAATTTGCATGCCATTGCTTAGATTCTCTCTACTTATTTATCCAAGATACAGCCACTAAATTCCACACTGCCAACACACCAGCCGTTGAACAGGGTGAAGTTGGGAACAGCTTCCACCTTAGACTGGATTTTGCTAAGCTGTCCTTGGTGACTAGAATAAAAGTACCCATTTCTGTACCTCCAATCACCTATTCCTTTGCAGTCCCCAGCACAACATCCCACCCACCAGCTTCTTTAAGCACGCATTGCTCTTTTCCAAATTACCTTGACCTTACTTTGACTTTCTCAGTTGCTTTAGGTGCATCAGCAAATAGCAGGGTTTTATTCTAGGGGTTTTTGTTTATTTTAATTTGGGTTTGGTTTTTAATTTTGTTGGGTTTTTTATTCTTCGGGGGTTTATTTGTTTGGTTTTAAACTTTCTGATTTATTCTGGGTAAGGTTTTTTGGGGCCAAGCTGCATTTTTGGCAAAAAGTCTTTCTAGTTTTGCTCCCTCACTTCCAATGGCTAAAAATGGTGTTCAGCCATATTTCCCCCTTGGATACAGTTACTGAAGGCACTTTTGATCTGAACATGTTGCCTACCTTTTTCCTCTGTTTTTTTTATAGTTATTGAGGAAAAACCCATCCTTCACTGCAGCAAAGACAAACATAAGAATAGAAGTGAGTCGGTGAAAAGATACAGTGGAGGAGCTGAAATGTGTTTGCACTCCCAGTGCATCACTCTAAGAGATAAGAGTGCTATCTGACTTCTACCTTTTGAAGGAGCTCAGCTCTTTCCCTGATAAAGTAGGATAAACAGTACAGAAATGGACAGGGTTGTAATTTTTCCAAACCACTGGAGAAGCTGCATCACTGTGCTGACTGAATAACCAGCAGGAACAAACACTTCCCAAAGTTCACAGTCATTCCCATTCATTCTCAATTTCTTATAAGAATACAAGTGATAAATAGGAAACAGTAAACCATATGCATGAACTCACAGCATTCATGTATTAGCAAGTGAAAGAGCAGCTACAGACTTTTCCCATTTCCATTGTGAAGCCTCCATCAAGACTGTTCCTACTGAAACAAGGCTGCCCAGTTAGAAGAATTCATTTTTCCTCTTCTGCCTTTCCATATTTCCTCTGCTCTGTCACCATGAAATCACATCTGTTCCACTGATATCCTGAACCCTATAAAAGAGTGCATCTCTCTCCCAGCTCACTTACTCATCTGGATGTTATCTTCCTTTCCCACCTTCAGTTCCCTGGTTTCTACTTATCTTTTTCCTTACTTATCCCTCGGTCCAGCTGCTCAGGCAGGTGCTGGATACCTCAAAGCACAGAGTCTCAATGGAAATAGAGTATAATATTAATAAAAGTAAAATAAAGAGTAAAAAAAAAAAAAAGCTATATACATGTTAAAATTTTCCCATTTTTTATGGTGACAGTGTCCCTTTCCTGCAATGTGTTCTTCTTTTGTCCTCCTGTCTCTCTTACATCAGGTTCATTCAGCAGAGCTTGTTGCAATCCACTCTCAGCTCCTTGCTGAGATGCTATTGAGAAGACAGGAATGTTTCCTCCTAAATAAAATGAACTTGTCAAGCAGAGACCTGGTTTAAGAGGAGCCAAAAACCTGCCAGTGCTGGCAGCAGCATCACCTGTGCTCAGTGCTATTTCAAGGGGAACTGCCCACTGAAAGGCCTGCAGGGTGAATCACACACAGTTAAAAACACTAATTAGAAAATCACAGGGCCTGGAACCCAACCACATTCACCAGCAAGCAGCAGAAACCAGATGAGTTTGTGTGCCTTGTGTGTAAACACTGCTTATAAAAGCTGTTGGATGGGGATGGTTTGGATGAGCCAAATCAGAGCCACGATGCACAGCACGGGTTGTCACAGCTGGAAGGGTCTCTTGGCCTGATCTACTGCTCATACCTTTAAAAGAGATATAAACAGTGCTGGGGAAACACTGAGCATATATTACTCCTGGACTGTAGTGGTTTTAGCACACTATTCTGCAATTCAAGCATTTCCAGGAAGGTTCCAAAATAAATTGCTCACCTGGAGCACAGGTTAGCATCTCACATACCCCACAGCGTACTCACGTTCGAGCCCACTTGTCCAGTTCTTCATCCAAGTAAGTTTTAACCTTTCTTGGCTGCAGCCCAAGAGAATTCCCAGCAAAGTACACACAGCTCTCCTCTCCGTTCACCAGGCTCAGATCAGCTGTGGAGGGAAACCAGAGAAACAACACATGGGTGGGGTGCACACAGGGGGATCAGCACACGTGCACACACCCCCAGGCACACACGTGCCACCACCCAGAGCTCTGCCCCTTCCTCATCTCCCTGGGACATCTCAGTCCCCACGCTCAAATAAAGGTGCCACCCTCCCAGAGCATCACTCAGGTGACCCTGCAAAGCATCCAAGGAGGAGGACAGAGAGGCACTTTGCAAGCAGTTATTCACCTTGTCCTCCTACAATTCTTGGAGCTCATGTGAGTTCAAGCATCGCTAAATGCCCAGCTCTCTGAAGAGAGCTTCTCTGGAAGCAACCACTGGCACCAATTTTATCAAGTGTGCAACCACAGGTGAGCAAAGAGGCAGCATTTTCCCAACCAGGCTATCCACCTTTTTTCCACCATCAGTATATGCCTTCTCTGAGTCGTGAGTCTGTGCCTTTCATGTAAGTTCTCCCTGTACGATTAAATCTCTATTTAGAAAAATGTAGTCATTGCACAGAATATTTTAAGGCCGTCTCCAAAGTTCTTGTCTTGTCAGCATATGCTGTGGGCTGCACTTCATGTCATCGTCTGAGGAGGAGGAGGAAATCTATGTTGACAAATCCTTTCAATGATTAGGAGAAAAGCAAGGCAGTAGAAATTTATAAATAATAGCTGTGGTGAGGTTCTGAGCAATCTAATTACCCTGTGTCATCATCTATCAATCCAAACACAAGCCTTTTTCTATTATTTCTCATGGTAGAGATTCTTGGAGGGACAAGTGATGGTGACCTTCTAGAAGTAGTAATTTACATTTGTCTATACCTATACTTACAATTCCCCAAAAGCTAATATTATCTATAATTTTGGTAAATATAATCATTAGAATTATATTTACCAAAATAGATTATATTAGATCTCAGAATAAAGATATGAATTTGTTAAGATACATGCTAACAATGAGCATAAAATTGCAATTTAGTCATGGAAAATTTTCTAAGGACTGTAGAAAAACAGCCTGGAAAAGGCCTCTTACTACCTTTTGCACTAACAGTTCCCAACTTCATCAAACTTCACCAGAAACACGTTTTTCAGGAGTATAGGCAACTTGGGTAATTTCTTAATTAAAGCTTTAGAAGCTTTTAAACTGCACAAGTCAGAGAGCAGTTTCAGCCTAATCTGTTTTACAGATACTATGTCTGTTTTTCATCTCCATTCTAATATGAATGAAAACAGAGAGGCACAAACATTATCCATGCTCCCAAATTGATTCTATTAACAGTTCTTTTCCTATCAAGAAACAGAATAACACTGTCCCATCGGGATTAGAGAGAAGGATCTTTGCTCAAGAATTTGGAGCTCAATCTCACTAATACTCTTTATGCTCTGATCAAGTAGTAAAACAGGTAAGGAATTATAAGCAAGCCAGCTTTCCTTGCACCACAGTCCTTTCCAAATAAAAACACCTCTTATTCACTGTTGGAAAGAGATGACATTACTTTTTTGACAAAGTGTATTTTCTCTAATTTTAGAAATAAATGTATTTTTCTACCAGTTACGTTGGATATACTTTTTTTAGCATTTTATCAGCTCTTTGTCTGGCTGTATTTTTTTCCTTTAGACAAAAAGCTGTTTATTTCCCTCTCTTTGATATCGTTAAAAGGCTCATTTTGGACTACTACTAGTTGGTTTTTTGCAGCATCTTTGTCGTTTCACAGCTTCTGACCAGCACATTCTTGTGTGACACTTTCACAGTCACTGTGATGCTCTTTACAATAATACATTTGTTTTCTTAAAACTAGCACTTGACTGTTCCCAAATTGCTCTACCTTTACTTCTCAAAGTATTCACCCTTTTTATTTCTGGAGGAGCTGTGGTTGATATGCAATATATATTGAAATATTCAAATAGCAAATAAGCACAATTGAGGAAAAAAAGGCAAAGCAAACAAGAAATAATTATTGAAATGTAGTTTTAGAGAAGCCTGAATAAAAAACTGCACTTACATTAAGATTAATTAAATACATAATATATTTGCACACCTACTCAGATTCATGCAAAAATTATTTTGCATAGTAATTATACCCATTTATCTACATTAAAAATGCATTTCTATACCTTTTAAACCTAAAAGAAAAAGCAAGTTTATTGTCAGAAATATTCAGTCCAAGGAAAAGGTAAAAATGCAATGTCTTTATTAACTACAGAGGAAGGACTAAATCTGTTTATGCATATCTGAGATCTGTCCCTTGTTGAAGGATAAAAGATCACCTCCTTCACACCTGCCTGTACCCCCTCACAAGCCCTCCAAACAAAGAACCACATTTATTTGATTAACCACTACCTTTAACCATTTCTTCTGGGAAATACAGCTCAACACTTTCACTCTTGGGCATCTTTTTATTCCCAAGAAACCCTAATGATGCTCTATTCCTTTACAAGATCACAAAGCACGAGCCATAGCCTTAATCAGACGGGTGATTTGGTGCCAACTGCAATCCAGGCATTCCTGCCCCCTCCCTGCGGTGCAGGGAAAAGCCTTAAGGAGACTTTGTTGTCAGCTCGGAGAAGAGCAGGGAGAACCAAACGTTCCTCTAAATCTCCTGCTGTCATCTTTCCCTATTTGCTCACCTGAGCCTCGTCCCTCATGCTTGCACATAAAAACCTCAGAGATTTGCAGGGAGCTGGGCTGCTGTTGGTTTCCACTTGATTGATATAACAAACAAACAGCTGTGGCAGTTCATAACTTGATAACTAAATTAAACTCTTCTAATGACTTCCTAAATATTTTTTTTTTCTGTACGTCATCTTACAGTTGTCTCCTATGGATGTTCTGATCTGCTTCTTGTAAGGTTTAATTTTAAAACCTCATTGTAACGTTTTATGTAAATATATAAAGGATATTTGATGGCTAATATCTGTAATGACATTTATCTTTAGGAATATGTTATCTAGGATTCGCTCCTGGGTGCAGATAAATGTCATGGGAGATCTGTCTTACATGGTGTAGACACACAATGTAAATATATATATATATATATATTTGCACCCCTGCTGTTTTTCAGCAGGAAAGCTGTTCCTGATGACAGCTGAAGTACAGAAAAGAGGGACAATGGAGAAAGAGAAGGGAAAAAAAATCCCTTAATTTGGGAACACAGGAATGATGGGTTCTCTGTGCTGTACAACTAGTACTGCTTTGTACATTGCTAGTCTTCAATAAAACATATATATCTCCACAGTCTCAGGACTAAATATTATCAGAACTGCAGGGAAAAGCATATGCATCAGCAGTCTTTGGGTCTAAATAAGATGGTGGTTGAAAAATAAACAATAATGAAGGTTGGAAGGGAAGAAATCAAAATTGTCAAAGGGATATCAAAACCTCTACGTATTTCTCAGAAAATTCTTTAACATGAAGCTGCTACAACACTACACTGAAAAGCGACCTTTGACATTCTGGAGGGTCATTTGACACGCTGCAGATGAAGATCCAGCTGCTGTTCAGGTGTCCTACTTCTTGGAAGACCAGCTGAGAACACCTCCTCCATGTGGAAGAACCACCTAGTTTAGATATTTGCAAAATGCCCAATTCTGTTCTGAATAATGGAAGCAGCACATAAAGAACTGGGATTTATAATCCCTGCATCCTAAGGGAGGGAGCAGACAGCATTCTCAACACTCATCATTGTTTAGCAGGAAGATACTGCAGAGATAGTCTGAATTCCTGAACATCTTTTGGAACTATGGATACCATTTTCTATCACAGTTCCTTACTGTAGACAATTTGGGGAATGCATTGGTAGTTTCTCATTTACCCTCAGTACTGTTCTTTTCAGAAAAAGAAAAGCTGCAGAAAATTCTACCTCCATTAATTGGAAAATGAAAAAAAAATTGCAAGAAAATGTCTGACATATTTTTTTTCCTTCAATTTTCAATGGATGTATTTTGCCACCACAGGAAAGGAGGAGGGTGACTATGCCTGTACTTGTTCACCACCTAAGGAAATAATATGTCATCTCTTCAGTTTCCAGTGTGCAATGACCAGGGTCTGCAGAACCAGCATAGCTTTTGCTTCCCATGGATCTGAGTCGAAAATAAACCCAGATAGGACTGGGGAAGCAGGAGAGGAGCCCAGGACCCTGCTGCCTCCACAGGTGGATGCTTCCCACCGTATTCCCTGCATGATTTTGGCTAAACACAGCGAAATTTGTGGGTACAAAAAAACCCCCTTAGAGATGTTTTTTGCCTTTTTGTGGGTTGGGAGCAATAACCTGAAGCAAATGCTTCCCCATCAGCTTGCCAGCCCTCCTGCACACCCCTCCTGCCTCCACACTAGGCCCTCTCCACGCCCAGGATATTCCACAGGCTCCTCAAAACAACCTGCAGACCAGGAAAAAAGCAGAAAAACTTCCAGAACCATTTTGCACATCTACATTGAAGCCACGTGCAGTTATCTATTTGCAGGCAATTCATAAGGAAAGCGGGAAATATCCTCAGATAAAAGGTTTCACTATGAATTATTTGCTCAGATCAATTATTTGTTCTAAGGCACAGTCTTCCATTTGGCCTCAGGAAGAAAATATCTCTACTACCAGCAATAAGACATGAATGTTAATATAATACATGTGCTGTCTCTTTCATTAACTAAAATAATTGTAACCAGATAGATAATACCAAAGTGTATTACACCAAGGAAGCAACTGCTCTGAACTATCACAAGCAACTTTGCCGTTTCGAGCCATTAGACAGAAATGCTTCTGCCTATAATTTTCAATCAGTCCCTATATTGTTCAAAGCTGCTGACTGACAGGATAAGCACCATGTAAGTACTGTATCCTCACATTTTATTCAGGATGGGAACGAGAGCATAAAGCTTCTGGTGCTAGAATAAGCTGATGGATTGATTTAGCAACAGCAGGGACATTCTGTGCTGAGATATGACTACAATTGCTCAATTATCTCATAAGTGATGATGATTTCCAAAGATTTGTGATAAACACATGCAGAAGATGTGAAGCCCAGCCCTTTCCCCCTCCCGCTCCCTCAGAGCTATTATAATTCTCACTTGGAGGCAGATCCTTGACTTTGGGGATATAGAAACATTCACGAAGGTGTTTTAACTCATCTTGTTCATCTAAGTGAACAGCGAGTTTTTTGTCTGTGGGACTGCATCCGAGCCGCGAGGCAGTTTGTTCCAAAATGGTTGCTGGTACCACAGGAGAAGAAGGATCCATTTTCAGTTCATTCAATTTCACCTGAAAATCAAAAATGCCTGTTTAGCTCCTGCAGTTTTGCATAGTCATGAGTGGCTGGTAAGCAGCCACTAAAGCTGCATCATTCAAGACCCAAACTTACTTGATTTAAAGGTTTTAAAAAGTGAAGTGTCTGAATAGAATGGTAAAACCGATCAAATATTTCCGAGGCAACATATTTCTGTAACCCCCCCAAAGGCTTTTTTCTTTCCCTTATATAGACACAATGCTCTTCCCTTTTTAAGTTGTATCAGCCACTTCTAAGTTCTCCCACCAGATTGACAGCAGTTCCAAACGCTGAAGTGTCATTCACAGTTTTGAGGCGTCAAAGCCAGAGGCAGCATTATTGTTTCTGCAGTCTGAGCTCCTAAGAATAGCAGGTGCACAGCTACACTGGAGTTGTTTCCAGGCTGTGCAACGTTCAGCCTCTTTCAGCTTTCCTGCCTCAAATATTGGAGGGGGAGCTTGTGTACAGTTGTGCTCATGTACAAGGGCAGAGCAGGCAGCACACAGGCAAAGGCAGCGTTAGAAACGTTGCTTGCAAGACCAGGACCTTGAATTATTATTTCCTTTCAGCTGCACTGAACATCCTGGTGGGTTTATCTCTGCTTGCCCTGGGAAAAGCGAGAAGCCCACGTCAAACCGCAAACATGACAGATCATAGATTCTGGGAACATCCACAGCTAACTGCAAAAATTTACAAGCTCACTGGTCTTGATGAGAAAAACAGTCCTGTAACTGCAATGCTCAGAGGCACCATTGTGTTCGAGATAGCATTTGTGCACTTGGCCTTACAGATCTATGGGAAAGAAAATTTATAACACATACCCTGCACTTTAGGGCAAGGCTTCAGTGGTGCTGCCTGCTGGCAGTAGGCAGCCGAGAGGCTCACTGTGGTGCTTGGTGGTTGCCCCAGTTTAGGGAACTGTATAGTTACACCACACAATATTTTCTGCCTTTTTAACATCCCCAAGAGCCTTGGTGCAAAGGAGCACTCAATGGGATAGGCTGAAATAGGGCAGATTAGCACATAACATGCAGCATAGAGTCACTAGAGAATATTACTTTTTTTCTCTCTGTTTGAGAAAGAAAGCTCTTTAAGCACTTATCTTCCATAAGAACCAGCTTTTGTTTCTTAAAGCTAAAAGCATTCTGTGGATAGTTATCCAGAAACAAGCTGTGGTTAGAACAACAGATGACTATTGAGAAGAGCTTTGTCGACGCATATGGGAAGGACAACGGTTGGTATTTAAATATAAACCCCTAAACAGCACAGACTCATTAGTTCCAACTGATCCAAACCTGTTTATACTCTAGCCAAATGGCCAGCATGATGCTGCTTACCTGCTTTAATCTGCTATCATTTGGTTTATGATGAGAACATATTCTTTTTCCCCCTCCAGACTTAATATCTTACATAATAACAATTTTTCCCCTCCCACCAGCATGCAGAGTTAAAAGAAAATACCAGCAGAGTTCTTTAAAACAGTTTTGCTTTAGCTAATGAAATGAAAACTCCTGGGAGTTACTGGAGTTATCCTATTTTTGTGCTGTCTCCATACAGGTTGTTCACACCTCCTCATTGTTGCCAAGTTTATCATTCCCACTCGTCTGTCCTAATCATCCCCTAAGTGATAAAAAGGAAAATAAAATAACAAAAGTGACTGGGGGAAAAACAGATATTTCAGCATTTCGGTTCTTAGAGCGCATTTTAGGGTTTCTAGGAGGCAGAGGGCTACACCTGGACTAGTCTCTGGGTGGGATGCTCAAGAGGCCAAGAGTTGGGATCAACATACCCCACTAGCCCTCTCCCAGAGAGCTGCCACCCCACTGAAATCCTTGAAAGAGGTGCTGCCAGGCTCCCTATTCACCAGGGAACTGCTCCTCAGTTCCTCCACAGCTGAGCAGCAGATCCAAGACCTTGCTTCTGACAGCTTCTCTGCTGAGATCTTGGTAACATGTGTGCTTTTCTGCAGGTCAGAACAACACTGACCTTCTGGACCTCACTTGGCAGACATCAGGGAGGATACTTAGGGATCATGATTTCCTCCAGGACTTGTGAAATGGGAAAAGCAAGCTTGATTCTTGAATACTGTGGCCATCACTAATACAGGCACCTCATTATAACCTACAGGCACTGTAAGGTAACTTCATTTTCACTTCTCCAACTTACACGTTTTAAGAACCCACAGTATTAATGAATAAATGAGGGCTTATCTTCAAGCAAGATTTGGATCAACACTTGGAAAACAAAACTAGTTTTTGTTTCCAAAGGTTTGTGTATATGATTTACAGCACAAGCATGGATGTTCTGCTCCCACTATCAAAGCTTGTCCAGCACGTACAAAAACAAGCAAGATATAGCCCTCTATTTTTAATAATGGGCATTCAATGCAAACGATATTAAAAGAAAATTATATATATATAAAAAAAAATCCTTGTAGAAGGGACTTGAAACCTGACTGTCTCCTTCTAGGTAAAAGAACCACACAGTAGCCTGTGTAGTATTTTCTCTGCAATCTTCTTCCCACTCAAGTCAATGCCTGGATTTTTTGCTCCCCATTGACATAGTTCCTGAAGTAAGGGAAGGAGCCTTTTAAGCTCTCTAACCAGATCACTCAAGTTAAGGAGATTTGTTCAGTGATGCTCAGCTCCCACAGTCCCACACAGGGGAGACTGTGAAGTATTGGCACTGCCATCACCTATGTCCTCTCCTGAATACAGCCAATGAAGGAGCTTTGGGAGCCTCCAAAATTTATCTCCCGGGCCCACTGAGGCACTGCCAGCTAATTCCCCTGTAGTTTATGGCCAAGAGATGGATGATAAGGCTGCTTGAAGGACAGTTTGGTATTATCTGGACTGTAGATGTTCTGCTTTGCACCATGTGAACACAGCCCAGCGTCCTACTCTTTATCTTACAAGTCACCATTTCCATGTAGGGATACCCAGTTATTACAGTGGATTAATGACTATCATATTCCAGGTCATCCTCTGACCTGTCTGGAAAGCATAGATGGGTTTGGTTTCCATTTGAGGCCTGACCCAAAACTCACTGAAGTCAATAGGTCTCTCTATTACAGATGATTTCTGGATCAGGCCTTTTGTTCCCTGTCATTGCTGTAGTTTGCTGCATCTGATCAATGGCTTATATTTATTGTTATTCTTATTGATGTTTAATGTTGACAGCAAATACAATATAAATACTGAAGCCTGGAAGTTAAAAATTATGAAGTGCTCAATGGCATCTGATTTAATACAAACATTATGAAATGAGGTAAAACTACTGAAATAAAATCAATCAAAATCCTGTTGAGGGATGAAATTCCAGAGATCCAGTTCTAAAACCAGAATAAGAAAGGACTTTTGTCCTTTGAATGAGAATTAGGCTTCATAGAGAGCAATTCCAGAATTTATTTAGGGTTTGACACTTTTTTTACCCTTTGTTCTAACTGACATAATCTCTTTTTTTTTTTTAATCACAGAATCGAGCTCTGTGTAATTATTTTACAATAATTCATGAGTCATTTGTTGTTTTCTACATGTAGAGCAAACACATTTGTATAAGAATAGCACAGCTTTATTCCAATTATCTTCATTTAACTGAAAACAATATTCTGTAACCTCTTCAAATTAAAATTCAGACCCATCAGTGCAAAATGCATTTCCCACCTTGATAAACACAGTTCTTACCAGGATTTTTTTTTTTTTCAGACAGCTTAGATTAAAAATAATTAAGATAAACAATTTGCCTCCACCACCTATTCTGAAAAAAAGCATTCAGGTGTTTTCATAGAATCCCATAGAATTGTTTGGGTCAGAAGGGACTCTTAAAGACCACGTCATTCCAACCCTCCTGCCATGGGCAGAGAGATCTTTCACTAGAAAAGGTTTACTTCTTTTCTTTGAAACTTCTACAGCATCTTTTGACTCAGCAGATGATATGAAGTCAGTATATTTTTATTTTTTCCTATTTCTTTGCTCTTTAGACTCTTCTATGGGACTTGCCTGTACTTCGTCCTGATTTAGAGTAAAGAACTCAGCAATGACTGTAGGCAAACTTTCATATTCAAAATGAGCATAGGCAACTTAAACTAAGAAAACAGTCATTATTCCATTTTTTATCAGGACAGACTTTGCCCCCCCCCCGCTACTTCATCTCCCATTTTAAAACTATAAAAGACGATGGATGAGAATTAGTCAGACACAAGTGACATGAATGTCTGGGTGATTATTTCTGTTTTGTCCTTTATGCATAATTTACTGACTAAATAGAAAAAAAAAAAGTGTGAATATTAGCAAGTCATCTTATCAAATTTACTCAGGAAGGTCTATTAGGTTTAATTATAAGAATGATAATTTGTTCTATTTTTAGATCCTCTTATGATATTTTTATGGACCTATCCTCTGTCTCGAGATCTTTATTTAAAAAAAAAAAAAAAAAAGATATTAAAGTTCCCTTACCCCACCCCTTAAACATTTCCTTTAAATATTCCAAGATGTTACTCACAGTCTACCCAGTACCGTGCTGACAGGCATACAGTGAATCTCTACTTTAAGCTTTACCAATACCCTCAGAGGAAAAGTGTTTGTCATGGAAATGGCCTGTCCTGCACTTTCTGCCCTCCAATAGCTGTTCACCGGGTTGCCAAACACAGCTCAGCCCACAGACCTTTGATATTTTGAGGCTGGTGTCCAAATGAATTCTTGGGAAGGAAAGCTGGGGGTGTGCACATGTGTTAGTGTGAAAGTTTGCATTATAGGTCCAGGCTGTCAAAATACACCCACTGAAAGCACCAATAGCATAATAATTGAAATTTTTTTAGAAAACAAACAAACACAAGAGAAACTACAGAACTGCACAGTGTCTAAGGACTGTTTCTCTTCCCGTCTTTACAACTAAAAAAAAAATTGCTTTGGTGAATATGATTTCACAGAAGGAAGTTTCTAAAAAAGCACAGCCCAAAGCAGCACGCAATCTAGATTACTTCAGGTTAAATACACTTCAGTGAATTTGTTTAAATTACAGAACTGGAGAAAAATCTAAATATTCATAACATCCCCAACAACAGACACACAGCGGCAGCCACCGCTGTATAATTAAATAAGTTACATGCACAGTGTCACAGCTGCAGCAGGGGAATGTGACAGGGAGGAATTATAATAAACTCAGTTGCTTAGAGTAATTTAGGCACTTATTGACCTTCATGTCAAGAAACGCTGTGGTGTTAGAAGTAATTTTACACAGAAAACTCGTCTTTTCCCCCTCTACAGTGAAACCACGTTACCCTGCGGTCGGCAGCCGTTCCTGGGGGAGGATGATGAAACTCGTGTGCAAATACTTGTCACTGCATGAAGAAACAGCCACAGTCACGTGCCTGGTTCTCCAGACTCTGACCCCCCGCCACAACCAGGCACACGACCTCGGAGAGTCAACCAAAAACCAGGTGTGCATATGTATAATTATTTCCTTTATTATCGTTTTCTTTTCCTTCGTCAGCGTTTTAAAGCTCTAATTAAATTAAGAAGGCACTTTTTTCCCAATACAGGCAAAAGAATACATACACATTTCTAATGAAAAAGGTTTTAAAAATAATTGTTTCCCTTTCATGACAGAGACAATCGATAGTATAATAGCAAGTCAGCAGTATTTGCAACCACATGACAGAGGGAGTGGTGGGACATGGAATATAGATTTGCCAGAGTGGAAAACAGAAGAAGAATTAGGGATGAAAGTAGGGTAGAACAAAGTTGATATCTCTCTTTGCTCTCTCTAAACATTACCTCAAACCAGCCACGTGTAAACCCTATCCCCTCCATTCAAGCTTGAATGACACCCTTTCTACACATAGCAGTCATCTGGAACAAGAAAAATAGTTTCTCTTTATTCAGCCCCTGAAGCCTCAGAGAGGGGAAGAAAAAAAACCTCACAAAACAAACACATAAAAAAACCCCAATCCAACACACAACAACAACTGAAACAGTGAGGAGAGATATAGGGGTAAATGGGTCAGAGTTGTGGACTAACAATGTAATTCAGAGGCACATCTCCATCCCGGTGTTCTGCCTGCCCAGACCCCTGCAGTAATGCTTGTTTATTATCTGGATTTTCATTTTTCAGCAAGCATCAAGAGATGTGACACTCTTGAACTGTAACATTTCATCTTTGCTAGGAAAAAAAAACCAAAACAAAAACAACAAAACAACCACACAGAGCATTTAACGTTGACCCAAAACAGAGCTGACCTCTATCCATCAGTTCCTGCAGTATCATTGCCCTGTTCTGCACTGCCAAATGATTTTTTGGACTTCCCATTAACTTGCTTTTTTACTCCACAAGCCAAATAATGGGACTACTGCTAGAGAAACTTTGTCCCATCAGTAATCTAGTCCAAAGAAGAAGCATATTGAGGCACTTCAGCTACCAAAGTAAGAGGGATCCAATGTCAAACTCAGCCCAAAAGGGTATTTATTTCTTGTTTGATTGACCATTTAGGTCAAACCAAGCTTAAATACACTGTAACTTTTCAATTTGCCCTTGGAAATAAAACTACACAAACAGCAGAGCGAAAATTTTTCCCACTGCATTTCCTTTTGAATAAGCATCATGTGTTTTAACCTTGATTGTCAATGGTGGCAGGAAAGCAGCTGTGCTGGCAAAGGCCATATGTTTGTAGAGTTTCATGAGAATATGAATATTGACCCCTTCTTCCCAGCTACTCTTCTCAACTTTTCTGATGGAATGAAAGAAAAACAGAGACAAAAACCTTTGCCCTTCAATTTCAGACTCAAAACAAAACAAAAAAATCAGCAAACATATGGCCTAGATACCTTTTTTCAGCTGCAGAACTAGTATAATGGGCTGTTAGTCTTTTTTTTTTTTCCTGTGTTGCTGTAAAGTAGCCAGAGGACAGGAAGAGAAGAAGGAGCTGCTGCAAGTTACAGCAAGACCAATGTACAAGGGAGTGAGGCCACACCAGATGGGCAAAGTCCCAGCGGGCACGAGGGACAGAGAGCAGGCAGAAAATGTAATGGAGGGCAGCCCTGCCATCACCCTCTCAAAGGAGCTGTTAGGAGAGTGATGGGAAGGTAGTGACATTTGACAGACAGTTTAGAGAAGGAAAAGAAAAAAAGGAGCTCTGCTTGTCTGTAACTGAGGGCTGTGTGGGGTACACGGGGCAGAGAAGGGATTAAGGGGTGGGCAGAGAAACACATTTCTCATAGAAACAGCTTCCCTGCCTTGTTTGGAGGAGCTTAACCACATTAAATCACACCCTGCCAGCCACATCCACCAGTGTGCTGATACTGTTTCATCTCATCCTTCATCCCAGTCGTTTGCTGTGCCCACCCATCACCACCAGCCCCAGACTCAGCAGAGCCTGTTCAAGCCCCTGTCACGGGAGTCTCGTCCCTTGACTGAAAGAAACTATGTGAGTTTTTCAACAGGAACGACAATGAAAGTTGTATTAAATTAATTTGACAAAACACATGCCTTCTTCTCAAGACACGTGACAACATAACCAAGGGCACCCTGAAGCAAACTCACCCCATGCCATATGGGATGCCAGGACACTGAGCCTATCAGGTCATGAAAGCTTGCCTTGGCAGTGCTAGCCCAGAGCCTTCTTGCTGTCAAGAGGGTAAAATGATCCAGCAAACAAACAAAGAAGGATTCTCTTTAACAGGAATAGGCAGGTCTTACCCAGAATGAGATGGCCTGGAAGACCTTCAGGCAGGAAAACCCTGTGGTTGTTACAGCCAGAAAAGGAGCAGCAGAGCAGTGATGTGTCCAAGCAGCACACAGTGCACCTGCAGCATCGAGCTCTGCTCAGCACACAGGCACTTAGAAAAACCAAGATTGTCTGCATTTACAAGGCAAGCCCCACAGCTATTCTTAAAGCATGCCATCTGCACCTTAGGATGGCAGGATGCAATTCACCTCAGGCATCTCAGCAATCGCTCAGTAAACAACAGCATAGAACCTTTGGTCTCCCTCCTGCTGAGCTTGCTGCTACAACAACTTTCTTATCACTTTTGTTTTCTCTCTACCCCATCAACACACCTGCTCTGCTCTGCCTGAAAAGCTCCTCTCTTCTCTCAGGTCACATTTAAAGCCTGTGTGACGAGGCTGCCCTACACCTGCCCTCACTTACCTCGTTGTCCTCCCTCTCTCCCAGAGCCCAGGGAGTTACCTATTCCTTCTAAAGTGATTTAAAGGGAGTGTGCATATTTGGCCCTTTTGCAGCAGTGGATTGCTGTGGTTGTGTGATTCTGACTTTTATTCTTCTGGTTAAGACTGAAAAGCCTTCACTCAGTCCATTTAGCTTTACCACATAGGGAGTTAACTCCTTATAGTAACAATCCAGAGTTTATTTTTTTTATTTACTTATAAAGCAGTTATTTGTAGCTACTGTTAAATAACTGACTACGCCTTGGGTGGCCAAAGTGAGCTCATGAAATCTGCTTGTTTGTCTGAATCAATTTTCACTATTTTCTTTTCAGTCAGACTGTTAGGCACACCTCCCTAAATACATATGGATTTTTCCTGTTATATGACCTGCTCCTAATATCATTTTTCTCCAGCCTCTGTATCAGTTATCATTTTCACTTCTTTCTTAGTCACTAATTATAGTATTTGTCCTTTAATTTTATTTTTTACATACTGTCTCTAGGAAAAAAAAAAATCACAGAAATAAGAAATTATTTACTTTTCTGCTGGAACATTTAAAGAGAAATGTTGCACCACTGCACTAATAATGGTAATACCCAGAGAGGGACAATAAGGGAATCAGAGTCAAGGGTTTTCCATGTAAAGAAAACAAGAGCAGTAACTCCCCCTGGCTTTGATAACTCCGTGGTAGCTGTGACAGCAGAAGAACATATTTTGAATAGATGAAATTTCCTTGTATCCCTCTGAGTGAGCTGCTGCTAATAAAAGACAGCTGTACCTCTGATGCCCTTACCCACACTTCCAGGCTGGATGCACACACACACATATGTTTTTAAAGCCTATTGCTATAAGGAATGGGTTATCACTGTTGTTTATCTTAATGTTTTGCAAAGAAAAAGAGATTTTCCCTGCCTCTGGTCAAATATTTGGCCTCAGTGTTTGCTTTGGACAACAAGGACGTTTGAAGCAGTTTTTACCCAGTGTAGGGACGGGAAAGGGGATGTGTCTGCCCTTTCCTGAGTGAGCAGTAGTGTGATGTCCAAGGGGGTATTTGAGAGACTGAAAGAAAAATGGGGGACATGGCACTCCCTTTTCTCATGGCAGCTGCTTATTATATTTTACAAAATCTTCTTAAAAATCAATGTGAGTACTTTGGGGATGGATTTACAGCAAACTTCTTTCTGCCAGGTCCTCTCAAGGATAGGTAAAGATGTTTGTGTTTCAGATATAGCCTCTGTGTAGCCACTGTTTCTTCACCCTCCAAATGCCCAGCTGTGTGTCCAGACTCTGACAGTACAACTGCCAACCTTTTCATCTACTTGCAGCACATTTCCTGCCTGTGGTCAGAGAGCTTCTGGGAAAGGGGGAAATCAGAAACCAG